CAGTATCACTTCAAATTTAAATGTGACTTATAAATAATTATATTATGGCAAACTTTTTTAATAATCGGCAGTTATATTTTTGATATTGCATTATGCATGTAATAATTTCAAAATGTACATCCTGTGCTAATGAGTCCATCCTGTCCATGAGAGAAATAATGTAAGCTTGTGTCTAGTGACATCCATTACCTGTTAATACATCTTCAATTGTCCCCAGGGGTTGAAAACCCTAGCTATGGCTGTGTGCATCATACACAGGGCTGGTGCTGTGTATTTTCCCACCTGATGCAGTCTCTGTGGATCCTAAATTCTGCTGTCTATTGCCTTCCTTAGTTCTCAAAACCATTTCTTGTGTAAAACTTTATTACTGTTAGGAATCAATGTGCAAGAATACAGTTATGTTGTAAGATGCTTCACTACATTTCAGCCTATTTAAGATGGACTCCTGCAAATGATGTGAAATGTTCATATACTACTTGTTCTTTTCTGTTATACCCTTATGAATGCTAGGGAAGCTGAATGGACAGTGCTGTTAAAAATCAAAATGTAGATCCATCATGATTTTTTTCACCCTTAGTTATGTACAGCTGCCAACCTTGAAATATGAAAAACCAGGAAGTCTTCGCACTGCGTGATGGTACCATATTAAAATAATTCAAAATTGATTTTTTAAGTTCACATGATTCAATTTATTCAAACGTTTATATTATGACTCCAATGTAAAATATTCGTTCGCTGTCAGAGAAAAAGCTCTTTCTGTTCTTAGAAGCCAAATTACAAAATAGGTTTTAATGGTCTAAAATTTTCTTTATATTTTACTAGTGAAACCAGAAAATCTGAAAAACAATTTGTTTTTATGTTTAGTGTAATATTTTTTTCTGATTCTGTAACGTGTCGGCGGCACATCAAGTTTAACCTATCATCTATGTGCCACTGATACTGCAGGGAGTCAGATCGCTGTTTTAAGAAATTATTGGTGACACTATTTCAAAATTAAATTTTTAAAAAAATCTTCTGGCTACACTAAATTCACTCACTACTATCATCAAAATAAAGTATCTTTGGCACAAGAAAAAATACAGCCGGAAACCAAATCGAAATCATGCCAAAAATATCTTATCTCTCACTAAGTTTCGCGCTGACCCCACTTATGGAAGTTTAAACACATATTGCATAAAGCCACAGATAAAAAAATAAAAAGTACTATATTGGATGGTAAGAAGTCACATTTTGGAAAAAATGTAGAAAATCTTTTCAAATAAGAAGCACAAAATACACATATTGGTATTGTGAGTTATTCTTTCTATTTAAAAATATTGAAACAAAGTAAAAATTATGCATATACTACTTACACATCAAATGCTCAGTTCTAAGATTATATAATGTAGCAAATTATTTATTGTATATAATTGCTATAATAGGGAAGCATGAAAAGGATACAAAATTATAAAATTATTGCAAACAAAATGTCATTTGTAGAGAAAACAGTACGGTATTGCTATGTTATCACTTTTGGTATATTTTGCAGCAGTTCAAGCAATATGGTTTTTCTGGACAGTCACAGTCCTCATACTTGATGTCCATGCGGTCAGTGAGTGTTAAGGTGCGTTGTTGTCTTCTGTCTCAGAATTTGATGTTTGTGTGGTTTCCACCACAGTATCACTTATTTCCTTCCAATTCGATTTTAGAATCCCAGCTATAGTTTTCATTGCCGTGTTCTCATAATAGGAAAAGTCGCTGTTTTCTAAGATTTCAGCCCCAGTCAATTTTGTTTTCTTTCCTCTTCTTGGTCTGAGAAGGTTTTGTTATATTTGTACTGTCAACGATTTTTAACAATGCGCATAAAAAAATTCGAGTACAAAATTTCAAAACCATACACGCAAAAAACAACAATAATGCTTCATGCCTAAACAACCTCTTCATTCAGCTTTCATTGCCACACTAAAAATAAAGTATATAACTTCTAATTGTCAACTCACATCTCAGAGTGTCACTGGCATACGAAGTGCTGCCATTTGGGTGCACCATTGTGTCTCCGGCAATGAATGTGTTAATTACATATTCTAATGATTATGTTCTTGGCTAATTTCATTTTGTAATTTTATTACACTTTTATGCTGAGAAAATTAGGAGTAGGGAAGGAAAGCTTCAAAGTACTTTTAAACATGGTAAAGATAGAATTAATAATTAAAGTGAACATTATGTGTGTCTAATATAAGAATCTAACTATAAGTCTTATAGTTAGATGTTATATAACTAATATAACATCTAACTATAAGACATTGGTACATTAGTAATGTACCAGTGATTAGAACTTGAATTAGAAGACACTTTCTCCTTCCTTACCATGTGGCTTCATGATTGGAAGCACTTTCTGCTAACAATCAGGACATCTGGAATTGGATTCCCAGCTAGGGCACTGCATATGTTTTACATCTCCTACCTCTGATGAATTGCTATGCAGTGATGCAAACTAAAATGTGTTAGATGATAATTCAACACCACCAGGATTTGGCAGTTAGGTCCAAAGCCCTCTGTGCCTTCATGATGTAATTAGAAGAACATCTAGTTTACAAATGGAAGGAGACTAGAAGATGTGTTGAAAAACCAGGAGAGTTGGCAGCCATGGTTATGATACTACTGAATTCCTCCACCCTTAAATCACTGTGAAGACATTTAGTGTTGAAGAAGCTTGCTTTGGGTAAAAGTCAAACAAATAGTCCCAAGTGGTATCTAAAAAGCTGATTCACTATTGATTTTTTTTTAATAGGCTCATTGCACTTCCATTTATATTATCTTTATGTTCAGATATCAAAAGACAAGGGACATTGCTAACATATGTGGTGCATGTTAAAGTTCTCTATCAAAATGTGCTGGTAGTAATATTTCTAGGAAGTGCTAGTGATGTCATCGGGGATATCCTGGTGAAACACTGTATTACCAATAATATTTTTCTCAGTCAGTACAGTACAGTTGCAAGTTAATCATTAATTGTTAAGAACAATCTGTTGCTAATCATTTCTGATGTTAACTTCAGTACTAAATGATTTATTCCTGATAACAAGCTAAAAGAAAGATAGCTTTGCTGTGATTTCGATCTACATATTACCTACAAAGCCAATGTATATAAACTAGTTGTTACTGTGCAAAAAGTAGGTACAGTTATGATATCTAGAAAGATGGCCATGCAACTCAATTCCTATAGTTCCTTTAGATTCCAATCTCTCTGAAGTATTATTAAATCATCACATAAGCTCCCAATGTAGTTAGAAATAAATCAGAAAGCAGTTGGTAGTTTCAGCTGTACATTTCTTCTGCTTTATGAAAGTAGCGTATTTCTGCAGAACATTATCCTGATGAAATTATATTTGGGATGTAATAAATTTAGTCAGCTAATGCAATGCATGTAAAATATTACTTAAAGCAAGGGAAAAAAATCTTCAGTCTCAATAAATAAAAATTTTGTATAATTTAATTTTGCCTTCAAAATTGGGTAGATATCAAGCACATTAGATTGACAGCAACAAAATTTCATTATTTGGTGATGCAGATTAAAATTCAGGAATATAATGCAGAAAAAATAGCGAAAAGTTCCTTATCAGCTGAGCATCTAGGGTTTTTTTTTTTTTTTTTTTCTGTCTGCTCATTGTTAAATAGACAAGGTTTATCCTTTGTTCTGTCTAATTTAAAAAATAAATGTTTGTCTGACTTAGTGCCATCTTTAAAAACTTTTTCTTTTCCATTTTTTTTTCCTTTCCCTGCTCTTTTCTTCCACATAGTTTTTTGTAGGCATTCAAAATATTTTGTAAAACTGCCTTAAATTTGCAGGCTGTTTCACAATTAAAGTTGTATTTTTTAAAAAAATATTGAACAAAACAAGCAGATCCCTCCCCCACATGCTCTTCTTCAGATATCCTTTTTGGATCTCTTGCATAAACTGGAAACATACTAATGTAGATCCTTTGTAAAAGAGAAGTGTAAATCAAATTACCTTAAAGTAGAGAATATCTGTAGATATTTTTCCATAGAAATTTCTCTATTAAAATACTTTTCCTGTCAGATAGACAGTCTTCAAATAGTTTGCCATAATTGATTGATTAATATCTGATGTTAACCTCAGTTCTCTTTGCATATCTTTGAGTTTTTGGTACTTACGCATTATCTTGTGGACCATAAAAGTTTGTGGAAATCTCATCAAAGCTACACCAATCATGTTTCATTTTTACATTTTGTTGAAAGGCTTCAGTCAATTTCTTTTGTTAAGCCACTGATTTTACTGGAAGGTCTGTTTAGAACACTATGATACAAACTTCCCACAGAGGATTGTTTTAATCTGTTATTTTATATATTACTCTATTTCTGCCATAGCCAACTGTTCATTTTCCCATTCAACAGATGTTAATTCTCTTGACCAACTGTAAATGAACAGAGTGCAGTTACAAATGTGATTCTACAACCCTTGAACTTTCTGAAATGAAAGAAAAAAGACGTGGCAGTAACAATTAATTTATCCCCTTGTTCATAAAAGATGACTAACCAAGCATTAGGTATTATTACATGAATCAAAAATGCAGATGAATGTGATGTTACTTGATGTTTATCAATAATTGGCACTAAATTGAATTTCTTGTTGGTGACAGTTTTCATGGCCAACAGGTTAGATAATATGCAAGTACCAAGTTTTTAAAGTTGTCAGTAATTTTGGTTTCCTTGTTTTTGATCTACAAGCCATTTTATATTTGTTAGTCAAGTGTTTATATATTGCTTTCAGATTTCCTGCAAATTGAACTTTAATAACATTAAAAGGATTTATCCATAATGTGAAAAGGTTTAGAATTGTAGTGGCTCCTTCCAATCTTAAATTATTTTTGTCATATTATATTACTTTTATTTTTAAAGTAGATTTATATGTTCTTTATTTTGAAATACATTTTAAAATTTCAAGATAATTTTTCAGTATATTGCTTTTTGTAAATATTTCTTTATTTTTTTAATTTTAGAGATTCCACAGTTCCTGTAGATATGAGACCTTTGCCGAAAGAGCCTGAAGGTGAAGAAAAGAAGAAAGTGAAACTAAAACCTTCTAAAAGTTAGCTAGTTTTATTGTATACTTTATTATGTGTGCTTTTTGGAAATTCGTGTTTGTGCATATCTTAAATGTATAAATTGAACATCTTTTGGTATAACAAACTTATTTTTTAACTTGAATCTAATTAAATTACCTTAATAACTGGAATACAAATTAAACTGAATTAGTAAACCATAAACTATAAATAATACAGTAAGCTAAGAAAACAGAGTGTGTTATATTTTAAAATGGACGAGTTATTTTTAAGTGTTATTTCATTATTTTTGAATATGAAAACTATTTCATATTTTATATGTGTAAGTATAGCAACATCAACAGAGGCAGGTATGTTTGGTTACAATTTTGTTTGTCATCCATAAATATTACGAGGTGAACCAGACTGCAAGAATTTCTAACTTACATAATTGCCAAATACCTTAACTGCCATTGTCACAAAAAAAATGCATTATATTTATTTTGATTTTTACATTTACCTATAAAAAACTATACCTGAAAAACAAAAACAGTACAAAGTCCAACTGCCGAAATTTTTGAGTTTCCGGATTTCAGAATTTTCCAGATTTAGATCATTTGTTTAAATCCAGTAAGGTGGCATGTAGAAATTACAAAATTAAAAATGTAAAATTGTTGTTTATGGAATAAAACGGCATTAATATTCTTAAGCAAATCAAATTTATATAATAAAAGGCTAAAAATTTGTTTGTTTCATTTAAAATTTCTGTTGATGTAAGTTGTTTAAGCTGCTTTGCTTTTTGTGCTAATACTTTAATTTTATGGACAGACATGATTTCTTGTTCGTATTGTACAAATCCTGTAATTGCCAAGTTAAGAATTCTCTAAAGTGTCAGTCAAAATCATTTCAGTCTCAACAATCTCTTGGTCATTTCCTTCAGTGTCGAAAGTGATGTTTTCTGGATTTAAAATCATGCTACTCATTTTGACATTTGTTAGTCAACTGCTAATTGTGGCATCGTCATCACAGTTGGAAATCTTCTGTTATATCTTCTTTATTTATTATTGATTCTTCACTAGTTTCATTAATCAGAAAATTTTCTCTTCGATAGCATTCAAAATCTACACCTAAATAAGGTTTTTGTTTTGCATAGTTTTGAAATTGCACTTTCTGAAGCCCAAATAGCTCTGACACAATTTGCTCTTGCTAAGGCCATTATGAAAGGCAAGTACCAAATTTGCTTTCACTTTGTAGATCCTTCTACTGCTTCAGAATTAAAAACTCCTTTTGACACAATGGAAAATCCAAACTTAAATTTTGATTAGCTGTAATAATAAGAATAATAGCCTGCAAAAAAAAAAAAAAAAAAAAAAAAATTATTAGCTAAATAGTTGCAAAAGTTAAGGAAGATTGTTATTTGCTGTGTTAACTGAACTTAATTCTTCAGAATCTAATTCTTTCTCTCTTCCTGGCTGCTAGGGCAACAAAAGGAAACTGGTATGAGCAACTACTTTGTTAACTTCAGTTTTTGGAATTTAACTCTATTTCTCTTTGAATCTTGACAAAAGATTTTGAGCTAGACTAGCAAGAAAAGAATAAAAAAACACAAAAACTAGTGACATCAGAGATCATGTAATTTTTGTGACGTTATATGTTCGTAAGCACACTTGGCTTCTGACATTATCGCACAGTTAGTTTTCAAAGGTTCCGGGGATTACGGATTGTCATTTCTTGATTAAAGATTGTCATTGTTTCTTGGTCATTCTATTATAAATATTAGTTTTGCAAAAATCTCAAAACCACAATGCTAATTTTCCATTATTTAAATCTCCACTTTTTCTTTTAATTAATTCTCAGTTAACTGTTATTTTTCCTTCAATTTATTCATATTCATTGTTAGGGGCTTTCTCACGTTTAAATTGTAAACATCGATGTACTAATTCTTTTGAGTTGGTGGTTTATTTTTTAATTCATTATTTCTCACTTTACTTTTAATTGTTAATGCTCTTCAGTTAATATTATATTCTGATTGTTGAACTTATTTCACTCTATGAGATTCTGATTGCTAATAAAAAACTAATTTCGTTGCCTGTTAAATTTTTATGTGTTGTTATTTAAAAACCTGGTTTTGCTTTGATATATAAGGCACTCCAATTGTTAAGAATATTCACATATTCATGCAACCACCTCGGTGCAGTTGAACAATTTTTTTTACAGAAGAAAAAAGATGATTCGGTGAATTTTCAGATTGCAATTTACAGTGGATATAGTTACCTAAAGAACTGTTATGTGCTTGGTTGCCAAAGTTTGGCGACTTCTGCTGAAGTGGTTGCGATAATACAAAAGTACCCTGCTTAGTTCTTAGCAATATTATAATTAGGAGAATGAATTGTAAAGTGTTCAGGCCAGAAACTGACATATTACAGTACAAAGTCTCTAATCCGGACGTCTGTTATCCGGAATGATCTATAATCCAGACCTCAAAGCCAGAAACTTACACATGCGTGTAAAGCCAGTAAAGCATTTATCCATGTGCGCTTCCGATAGTGAAGGAAGTAACAGAGAACGTTATTGAAAACGAAAAAATTTCGATTGACAAGTTAGTCGGTATTCTCGACACAGCAATTACAGGATTTGAACAGTGGAACTTTGTAACTGAACAAGAAATTATGCCTTTATAGAATTAAAGAGAAAGTATTAGCACAAAAAACGATGCAACTTAAACAACTTACATTGATAGAAATGTTTAATAAAGTAAACAATAAATATTAAGCTTTTTTTTTTTGTAATTTTTTACCCTTTAATCATATTTTTCAATTTTATTTCAATCATTATGGTTTCATATTTTTAATTGTATAATTTCTTCTGCATGCCATCTTATCAGATTTAAATTGATGATCTATAACCGGAAAACCTACCGGGAATCACCCCTAATCCGAATCACCGAGGATGAGTGATTACGGACACTTGACTGTATCACTTTAACATTAGAACTGAAGGAAAACTAATTTAGAAACAAAACTTCTGAAAATTGAAGTCTGGCACCTGGCAAGATTGCTTTCTTTCCCACTGCAATGTCAACAAAAGAAAACTAGTATGAGCTACATCCCACTCCAAAACAAATATGTCTTGAGGCTTAACTTTCTGTTTCAGTTAGATATAAAATGTGAATCCCTCTTACTCTACAACCAAACAAAAGAATAGAGGGTGGTGGAAGCTAGAGGCTAACTAATGGCAATGTATTCTGTCATTCACTAGTTACCAGGTGTTTTTTAGAAACATGCAGGAATCTCAGCACATCTGCTTTTTATTTTTTTCCCTTTTTCTTTTTAAGTATTGTATTCTTTAATAAAAAAACTCTGTATTTTGGATTTTGTACTGTATAACATTAAAAATTCTATACTCAATTAATCAACTATCATATCATTTGTTTACAGTTGATTGAGGAAACGTGGCATTCTGTTGTTGTAGGTACAGTAGAATGCCACAATAAAATAGTTTACTAATTCTTCAAGGTAATTTGCATTTTACTACTCATATTTACCATAATTGACTATAGTAAACAACAAATTCAAAAGCATGACTGTAAAGAAAATATGTAAATTTTATAAAAACTTTTAATTGTTATTTAGTATTTAAATAATTATTTCTTAGTATCAAGGAACTAGATAATTATTACTTCAGCATTTAAATTATAATCTTTGTACAATTTTGTAAAATTTTAAGCACCTTTTTTTTTTTAATTGCATTGGGGTACGACTGCTTTATTAAAATTTAGTTTTTAATGTTTGAATGAAAGAGAAATTATTTTCAATTAGTTACTTTTTATTTTGCAGTTCATTCAGCTGTAATAACAAACATCACTCTTTTTAATTCTTTCAGCTGCTGACTGAAGAACTACCAACTTTTGTTTATTTATTTTTAATATTAATTTACTTCTGTTTCAGATTTTGTATTCAGATTTAGGATTTGTGCTATTTTTTATTTGGGCATCCTTCATGATAGCTTAAACATTTTGGTTATCTGCATCCCCACTGAAAAGTTACATATTTGTTAGCAACTTTGGAGAGTATTAACAAACTCATTGGCAATTCTTCCCAAGCTAATGTGCAAAAGGTAACAATAATTTTCAAAATGGTGGCACATTAAGAATTCCATACAAGAGCAATCAATTAATAAAATTATAAAAACAAAAAATATCAATAATAAACACATTTTTCAAGAAATCCTTTTTTTTTTTTTTTTTTTTTTTTTTTTTTTTTTTTTTTTTTTTCTCACTGCTTGTTCTTCCCATAAACACAGTGCTGTGTTTTGACTTAAAAAAACTCAAAAAATTTCACAAACTTGGTTCTGTTATAAATCTGCTTTGTACACTGGTCAAAACAGATGTGCATACCCTTTGATGACACCATGGATTGTCGCATCACTATTTCTAAATATACTACTTTGCAATATGAATACATTTTCATTGACTTTTTGCTGGGGGTGCAGATAATGAGGAAGTACCTATACTATTTATAGTTTACCTTATTCTTTTTATGTGTATGTGTGTGTTTGTATAAATATATATATATATGTGTGTGTGTGTATGTATAAAATGAAAAATAATACTTTTACATTTCATCCTATATTTAATTCCGAATAAACATATGTAAAAATCAAAAGTCCAGAAGCACAGTTGCAAACTTCAAGAAAAAAAGGCCAAACATGCAAAACCAAAAATGAAATAAGAAATTTACTTTCGCTGCATTATCATCAGAGGTGTTGTGGCAAAAGATGTAAATTTCTTATTTCATTTTTGGTTTTGGCGTGTTTTGCCTTTTTTCTTGCAGTTTGTCACGCTGCTTCTGTTTTTTTTTTTTTTTTTTTTTTTTTTTTTTTTGAGGGGGGACATGTTTTTTAATGAAATGAATATGACATGAATTTTAAAACATATTTTTTTCCATTATTACTGCCGATTTTGCTGTTATCAGCATGCAATTGGATTAGACTTTGAACTACTTTGTATTTTTTCATTATATATAAATTGATTAACATCGTATAGAATTTGAAATGCTTAAAATGCAAAATCAATCAATGTAATACAGATTTTCTAAAAAATAAGTTTTATTTTAAAAAGCACTTTTTTTTTTTAAAGGCACTAAAAAAGAAAGAAAAGAATTAGAAAAGCCTGTTATATCCCCACCCACAAATTTTGAACATACTGTTCATGTTGGCTTTGATGCAATTACTGGAGAATTCACTGTATGTATTGATATGTTTTAGTTGTACTTTATTAAAATTATGTGATTGTTTATGCTAAATATTGTAAACCATCAGACATATTGACTTAAATCTTGTTGCAAAATAATTCTGTTTATATTTATGTTATTAAATTACATCAAAAATATGAAATGAAGCCCTTTCTCTCACATTTTAAAAATATGATTCATCAAATTATTTCTCAAGTATTAATAGAAAGATAACTGAAAACATTTAGAAATTTTTTAACTGATGTTTTTAAAATTCGTGCTCTTCAAATGTTCTGGCTTTTTTATGCTTTTTGTAAAATATTCTTTTGCATTATAAAGAGGGGGGAACTTTTACTAAAAGAAATTAGCAGATTGTAATGCAGATAATTAGCAGATTTTTTTATTTTAAAATGCATCTCCAGGAATACGTTGTACCCATTAATAGGTTATTCTGATACTGTAGTATTATAGAATGTTGATACACTTAAATAAATATATGTAATTTAATTTAAATAGTTCTACAAAAAATGTTTTAGTGTTTAAATTATGACATTCACTATATTTCTACGTATGACATTCACTATATTCATAATTTGCATAACTACAAAATTTTTAGTTTAAACTCTTTAAATAAATTAAGCTATCTGAGCACATTTACTGAAACAGTAGTAAACATGTTGCTTATATCTGTAGGTATTTTTAAGCTCTGAAAGGTGTAATAGTTTAAACAATAAAAGATAATTGTGATGTCAGCTTTAGTATGTTTGATCATGTTGAATTTGCCCTCATGATCAGTTACAGTTCAAAGCGCCTCATAAAATTGTACAAAACAGATTTTCATAGAATCGTGTTATGTTGTTTAATACTGCATTATGTTATTTCTTCAATAGCAGAGGTGATTGTGGTCCGGATATAGCCAGAATTCTGGATTTTTTACTTTTTCAGATCCAGAAATTCTGGATTTGATAACTTGCATATAGACATAATGAGCATTGTGCATTGTATTCAAAATTGTATGTTCTGTATCATTGCATGGACAGGTAATCTTCATGGACTATAATCTTGAAGACTGATGTCTATGATTAATTTTTATTGGGGCAGAGACTGAAAATATTATAGGATTTCAGGAAAAATTAACAAAAAAGAGTTTAAATGTGTTTTGAAAGAAACATGTGTAGAATATGAAGATTATATGGGAGAAAAAGAGTGTAATTCTTAAAAAACTTGGTCTTCATCAAATTTAATGGCATGAATCCTGTTCTGCTTTGTGAAAAAATATTTTGCCAAATGTCACATCAATAGATGAAAACATATCTGTTGCACCAAGAAATCAGCAACTATCCAATAGATATTCAGTTTTCTTATGCACCGAACACACACACAAAGTAATAATAATAATAATAATAATTTAAAAAAAAAATCTGAAATGTTTCAGATTTTAAATTACGTCCAAAGGGGCTTTTTTTAACGTTTTGAGTGTTACCTTTATTTATTAAATATCATGTTCTTTGCACTTAAACCATAAAATTCAGTTCAAGAGCAATATCGCAAAATAATGTTAAATTAAGCATATCTTTAGAATTTCCGATATTCTCGCGAGCTGGAGATAAAAGTTTTTTTTTTTTATATATATAACATTGCCATTTCTCGCTTTTAAAGCATTGAGTTTGTAAATCAAAAATTCGTTAAAGTTTTACAAAATATAAATCTATAATAAAACAAATTCCAAATTTGGGATTTCAGATGCCCATATTCGCAGTAGGATTTCGTCATTCAAAATTCGATGGCTCTATGTACCATTGTTTTATCACAACGCGAGAAATAGACAATCATTTATGCAGATTTTTCATTATTTAATTTCTTCAAATATAATGCAGTACTCTAACATTTTGTGGCAACAGTTTGAAAAGTGAACCGACGTTTATGAGTCCGATGCAAAATCGCAAAACAAAAACAATAGTCCTTCAGGGACAAAGCCCCTTTGGACTAATAAATTTGACAGAAATGTGCAGTGTTGGCAAACTATAAATTTAGTTTAGCTTTCTTCCTTGGATCCATTGTTGAAAATGCTTTCAATTACATGGGCATATTATGACAGAATATAGGATGTCCTTGAATGCTTTGATAGCATGTGTGTTGCGAAGACTGAAATATTATTTATTCTCTTCAAACAAAAATAAATGTGACATTTTTGGATAAAAAATCCCTCCCAGCATACTGTTGGTAAATATTTTGGGAATAATTTATTGAATAGCTTATATTTGCAGGAATCATTCTCTTTTTACTAGGAGTTCTTCATCTCCAACACTTGTTAATATGAATACTTCAGGCTCTAATCGTGCTGCTTGAAGGATTAAGTAAAAAGTTAGTGTTTTCATCAAAATAACTTGAAGTTTCATTTGTTAGCAAAGGTAATAATGAACATATGTCCCGGAACTTAACTCCACTTCCTGGTAAACTTAGCAGTTATTTTAAGATATGTTAAGAAACAAGAAAGATAAGTAACTTTGTAAAAGGATATAAATGAAACTTAAATTAACACTGAATTAGTTAAAGGGCATGTGTTAAGAACAATCTTTGTTCCACCCCTGAAATATTTATTTACATTTATTCATATTGAATCTCACAAAGAGAAAGTCAGCCATTTATTCTTGGTTTTCATGTTGATCTTTATGTGCTTTTTTTTTTTTCCCCCCAACTTGATTAAAAACTTGATTATCGCACAATAAATCAATGCAATCAAAGTGATGCTATATACTTCTTATGAATTTGATAATTTCTTACATGTTTGAGCTTGTATGGCATCATGAAATCTAAATACACTTTTAATGATTTAATGATTTAAAGAGTGTGTGAATGTCAAAATGCTGTCTCATAACTGCTGTATTATCAGCAGCAAAGTCCAGGATTAAAAAGTCACCTTCAACTTGTTTTAATAAAAATAACTATGTAAGAGCTTTAAAACATTGTTGAGCATTTTGCATTACAGTATCATCGACATCATTGATATTTAAAAATTAATGTTTTGTAGAATTTAAGAAACACGTGTAGTAATGAATAATAGGTGTTTTTTTTTTGGGGGGGAGGTGTTTGTTTTAGATTTCATTGAACAAATCTTCAACCAAAGCAGTTCTTATATTTAAAAAAAAAAAAAAAAAAACTTTTAGCACACTCTTGCTATAGTTTGGCCTTTGCCTACTATAGCAGCTTTCACAGGAAATGGGAACTAGCAGTTTAGCTTTTATGAGAAACAAACTTTCAGTCTGAACATGCGCACATGTTTTGTTTCTCATCTAGTGAGAATTTTCTGTTTCTCATTGCTAAATATAGGATGGTGCACAAAATGTCATACTATTTAGCCATGCCATAAAATTTTTAATATTATACATTGAATGTTAAAAATGCATATTCAGGTATTTTATTTCATGGAAAATATGATAGGTGTCAGGAAAAGTCAGTATTAGAGTATGATTTGCTACAAAACCATTTGCAAGATGGCAGTTAACAGATAGTTGAGTGATGAACAGAAGGTGAAAGTTAAAATATTTTGTGATGTAGTGATGATTCCAGACATAGGGAAGATTCATAGTGGGCACATAAAGCAATAACCAATTGTAAACAAATTCAGAGGCAGTATTTTCCAGGTGACTAGAGACTACAGTTGACTAAATGTCAACTTTTTGCCATTTGCCATGTCAGTTTCAGTTATCTCATTTCAAATGACCATGTTTTATCACAGTTTTCAAAAATTCTTTCTTGGGAAAATATTAAATCAAATGGAATAGCGGAGCTGCCAACTCTCCCGATTTAGGCGAGAGACTCCCGATTTTCGACCGCTCTCCCGCCAACCCGATTTACAATATATTTCTCCCGACTTTTTCTTATTCTTAAAATTTCTCATAATTTTTATGGAACTTGTCTTAATACTTCATTATATGAACAAAAAAAAAAAGTGATTTTGGACGTCTGAAAGCAATTGAATTTTCTCTAGATTATATCTAAAACAAAATCTTGTGAATCAGATGAGAACTTCTGCTTTGTGAGTGACTTGACTTGTGTCGAATGGAAACAGACTGACAGCGCGCTTTTACTCTGCATCAGATAAAATAATGTCTGGAACAACATAAGGATGATAAGAAGAATCGAGATGGTAGAATGGGATATTTCAACTTAGCCGCCATCAGTCGGTGAAGAAAGATGTAATGAATGAAAATAGACAAGCAATGTGAAAAAAAGTTGGATCAGTAAAGTAGTAAGTACTTCAAACAATTAACAAAATGTTATTAAGAATATCCAAAGGATATTTGTGTTTTGCTCTAGGAAAAGGTGAGCATCGCAAAGAACTGATACAGCTGTTTGGATGTAATAGTACAGAAAAGAAAAAATTTGTTGTTTGATATAATTTTGTATAGTATCAATTTGAAGTTCTTTGTGAATATATGAATTTGATATGAACCAGGGTGCATTAATAATTTCATGAAGGGTTTTATTTTGAATAACTTGGATCTTTTTTATGTGGGTTTTAGCAGCGTGTCCCCATACCGGACTGGCATAAAGTAAAGAATGTCTAAGGATGGGCTTGTATAAAGCAAGTTTATAGTTGATAGTCAGATTGCTATGTCTGCCGAGGAGAGGATGCATAGTAGCTATTGAGATATTGAATTTCCTGAGAGTTGAGTAAATGTTGCCGAAAAGTGAGTTTTTTGTCAAGTGTGACTCCGAGATACTTCACTTGATCCGTCCACTGAATATCATCATCAAAGAAGATGGGATTAGGCAGAAGGAAGTTTGTTTGTCCTTTTCTGAAAATAATGGCTTTGGTTTTGTCAGTGTTCGCGGCAATTGTTCACAGCGTCATAATTGTTTTCAAGAAGCTCCAAATAGTTTTGCTTTGTGAGTGAGAGCATATACGTATCTAGAAACGTCGTTCTCCAGTTCTCCATTGGGCATCGAGCTCCAGTGCGTGTCATCTGGCATATATTAGCCAATAAGCACAAAGCAAGCTCTCAAGGA